TCCCCGAAACCGTTCTCTGTGATCCCATTTTAAAAACCCTGATAATTAATAATAAGAAAAGCAATGAAGTGACAACTCGAATGCTTCAAAAAAGTTTCTTCTCATCCCCTTCTTTAATTCTTCCAAATGGCCTGAAATTGAAGTTGGCTTCCGTCTAAAAGTCCAATTCTTTCAAACGAGAATTGTATTGCTTTGAAAAAAGTTCACATCCATCATAGTAAAAGTTGATCACCATTTCATAAAAAGAGAAGCAAATTGCATAGCTTGGAGTAATTAGATGTGAAAAAGTCAACAGAGACTTGAAGATCAATCCATCTGAGTTTCAATCACTGGTTCTGTGTAGTCTACAGGGTTATGTTATCAAAAGAATTTGGCAAGGTCGCAGCGTTCAATTAATGAGTTCAGAAATTGTTTTCATGTTCTTCCTATGGCTAAATTTGAAATTTGAAGCAATATTCACCTTACACCAGGGTTGTAAATGGACCAAAATTGATTTGAATCAAGTAATATTTGAATTCGAATTGGATTGTCAAATAGTTGATCAATTCAAATGGGAATGATTAATTATTTTTTAAAATTTATATATAATATAAATATTTTATTTATAAAATATATGAATATATAATTTAAATATTATACACATTATATATATATATATATATATATATATATATATATATATATATATATGTTTGTATGTATATTAAAAGAAGGAAGTCTAAGTATTTTTTTCTTTTTAAATTTTTTTAGTCCACATTTTTTTTTGCCTATGAGGAATCAAATTCCTATATTTCATCAATCCTTTGGCTACATCTGATATCTTTCCAAGAGCCATGTTTTAACCAATTGCATATCTCCCATTTTAGGTTTAAAGTGGACTTGGAATCACTCATGATTAGACCTGGCAACTGGGTTGGGTGAGCCGGGTTCGGTTTGGGTCAAGACACTTCGGGTTGATTTCAGGTCGTGTTGAATTGCAGGTTGGGTTGCCAAATGCTAGACCCTAACCCTAAATGTTTGGGTTAGGGTTGACCCATGGGTCAATTCGGTCATCCCAAAAAATAATTAAAATTTAAAAATAAAGAATAAATACATGAAAAATGCTAAAATTAAAAGAATTAACCTTAGAATTCCAAATATAAAATGAAAAAACTTGAACATTTAACAATTCAAAGAGTAAAAATTAAAGAGTGAAAACTTCTAACAATGCATAATAGTCCCAATTAGACCTAACAATTGAGTCAACGGGTTGATCAATGACCCAACCTAGTTTTTTCCAGGTTGGCTCGAGTTGGGTCATTCTCAAATTCAGGTAGTTCAATGAGACCCTAACCCTATTTTTTTTGGGTTGGGTTGGGTCGGGTTCATGGGTTAGGTAAACTTTTTGCCAGGGCTACTCATGATTCTAAATTGCAATTGATGGTGCGCGATTTGGATGCTCCTAGCTGTAAGGCAGCTCGGATGTCAGTTGCCAAGTAGATCGCTCGAACTACAAAGAAAAAGGGGGATCAAAGAACCTAGGGGGCTAACCCAGTGAGGTCGCTCTGATGCTTAAGTCAGTAACTATAATATGTGAGCTAAGAGCTTAAGAAATGAGAGAGTTAGAATGCACATAATCGCGCGTAATTGGGTCTTGGGGGTTGATGCCCTTATATAGTTGAACAGCTGTGGGTCTCGTGAAACGGCTCTGGGATCCTCGGCCCGCATAGTTGGGATCTGTTCCTCTTTAGAAAGAGAGTAACATATTAGTCAATGAAGTTTATCATTACCTTCTGATCCGGGTGGAGAGAGGATAAAGCCTGTTGTTACGCGGCATGATCCTGAGAGGTTCAGAGTCCACTGAGAAGCTTCTAGAGTTGATTACGTGGCACTTTGTTACCCGAGTGCCAAACACCCGAGTTCTCAAAATGCTGACAAGGCTTTCCTCGCTGAGTTGTCGTCCTGCTGGTAGGTCGCATCCACGTGTCATTTACTTACTAAGTCGGGCCAAATCACCCCTCACCAGTAATATAATATTGAAAAATTACTAACAGATAGGACTCTTGCTTTGCACTATATTTCCCTAATCCAAATTAACTTTAAAATTCTTTCCATTCCAAGTGATAACAGAGGGATATTTATAGAAATTCTCTCTCTCTCTCTCTCTCTCTCTCTCTCTCTCTCTCCCACACACATTTCCAATAACCTAAATAGTACTTCTCTTAAAATTTCTCCTAAATTACTTCCTCCACTTTATCCTAAATTATCTCTAATTCTTATTTATATCTTGATTTTTTTAAGGTAAAATATCATATTTCATTCAACTATGAAACTTGTATGAATACAAAATAGTGGTCACATTACCAAGCAAAAAAATATAGAAACATTGTATGAAAATAGAGAAGTGGTAACAATAACAAGCAAGAATACAAGTCTCTAGAAAGAACAAAACATTCACAATGGATAAAGGAGAAAATGAAAAACTTTTACAACAAACAAAAAGTGAGGCAAAATTACCAACAAAAGAGATAAATGAGCACATCTCTAACCACCGAATACAATAGTGATTCGTCATAACTTTAACCATCAGGAACCATAACCGTCGGAACTTTAACAAACTGGAATTAAATAGAACTTTAAAAGTCTAGAAACATAACTGCTGAAACTGTAACCAACTGGAAGTTTAACCACCCGAAAAAAGTAACCCCCAGAACTGTTATCGTCGGAAGTGGAACCAATGGAACTTTAATCACCCGGAATTGAGACTGTCGGAACTATTATCGCCGGAAGTGGAATCAACTGGAACTCTAACCACCCGAAATTGTAATCGACAGATTTGTTAACATCGGAACTTGATCCACTTGGAACTCTAAATGCCGGTGAAGTAAAATAAGGAAATAGTTACCAGCGGTGAAATTCAAAGTAGCGATTAAGGCCATCGCCCAAAACTCTGCCTTCTCCTGTACTATACAAAAAATAACAAAATAAAAAAAAGGAGAAAAAACAAAAGAGAATGGAGGATTGGACCGAGTTAATCAAGAAGAAAAGAGAGCAGTGAGGGAAAGGGAGAAGGAAAAAAGAAAATGGAGAAAAATGAAAAAGAGTGAGAAAAAAAGGAAGGACTGAAATGGAAAGAAGAAGAAGAAAAAGGAACGACTGAAAAGGAACGGAGAAGAATGGGTCCCTGCTAGTTTTATATATAATTAGTTAAGATATTTATCAATCCAGCCAATTCAAATCCAAATTTCAATAATTATTTTATTTGAATAATCCGAATTCAATTAAATTATACGGAATCTCGAATTAGAACTTGGGTTTTTGCATACCATTGACATATAAGTTCAATAGAGGCAATCAGGCAATTAAATTATCAGCATTGTTTAAAGATTTTGCAAAATCTGTAATAAGCATTTTGACGTAGGTCAATTTGGCAACTCAGAAGCAGCTCTAAATGTCGGAAAATTTTCTCCTCCTCTCCTTTTATTTTCCTTTTTTTTTTTCATTGTAACAGTTATAACATTTAGCCTTTGTCAGAAAAACTTTTGTAATTAAAATAGGGATTCTGATGTCTTGGCAGGGGTTTTTGACACAGCAACCAATGTTACATTATTAAATACATTACAATTTTTTTCTTCTCTTTTCATTTTTCCCTTGTTTTTTAATGTGTTTAATGACCAATTTTCGCCCACACAGTTAAAAAGGGAGTAAATTTATAAAGATGGGTGTTTTAGTAAAAGAATCTATAAAGCTTATTTATTTAATGTATCTTAAATATAAGATTTAATGAAAGTAAATGAGAGTTAATATCTTAAATATAAAATTTAATGATAAAAAATGTATTGAGTTTAATAAAATTAGTAGTTCAAATTATATTTTTTGTCCTTATAATATGGGAAGACCAAGTTAAAAAATAAGGGTATTTTTGCAAAAAAAAAAATCAAGAATATAAACTTCATTCAGACCTTTAATACTAGTATAGATTAGAGAAAGACAAAAGGAATTAAGAGAGATTTAAGAGGGAAAAGGGGGATTCAATGGAGAATAGAGATGTTAGAGAGAGAGAGAGAGAGAGAGATTTAAGAATGATTTATGAGAGAGTAATATGGATTTCATGAGAGACTGAATACCCATGAGGATTTTAACTTTGACTTATTATATTTTTAGTGTTTTAACTTAAAAAATAAATATACTCATATGTGAAAAAGGAGAGGGATAGGTAGATGTAGCTCTTTGGTGATAGGACCCCTCGGTCCTCACCTTCCCTCATAATGTTTGTTTCATCTTCCCTCCCCAATTATATCTGTTTTTTCTTTTTTAAACCCTTTTTGAAGAAACAAGGATATAAATTAGATGGTATCTGTTTCTCTTCTTAAATCTCTTTGAATCCTTTTTAAATCCTCTTTGACGAAGTAGGAATATAAATTAAAAGGATTGGATTGAGCTAAGGGCCAATTCAAGATTGAATCTAAACATAAACCTCGGCCTGGATCTGAATTGATATCAAAACCCAACCCTAAGCAAATATTAAAGAATCAATGTTGTTATTGTTATTATTAGTGATAGTAGTAGTAGCCTAGTAGGTAATGATGTTAATCGGCCAGGTTTGGTTTGGGTCAAGGTGGATCCCATTCTGACCATATGTTTTGTAGAACCAATTCCAAATAGGTTCTTTTTCTGTAATTGGAATATAATTATATAACCTTATCATAATTGGGCTTATTTGACTCGATTCGGGTTGGTTATACCGGGTCTGCCCGACCCATCGACAGTCCTAGGGTTTTTTGGTTTTTGTTCTGCAGTCTATAGATTCTATATTACCAACCAGTCCACCTCCTGGAAACAGAACACATCTGCCTACACACTCGCCTTTTCTTTTGTTTTTGTTTTTTTTTTTTTCACCTTCACTTCTTTACTACGGGACACGCCGTGCAATTTTCCCTATCCTTTCTCCCTTTGCTTGGGCTCCGTCTCTTTCTTACATCCTACCGTATCCGATGGAAAATAAAAAAGGTGGGCCGTGTTTGGAAGTATAAGAGCATAGCCTCCCAATAAGCCCACCCCTCTCTTTCTCCCCCTTCTCCTTCAAGGAGAAAAATCCCAGCTTAGCCCCACCATCGCCGATGGAGCCACCACTTCCACCACCACCCTCCGCCGTTGCCAACGCTCACATCGGTTACCCTGACTCTGTCGACTCCTCTCCCCGTTCCCGCAACGCAGACAGCTGGGATGAGCCTCTCCCACCGGTTCCCGGTGCTAAACTGCGCCTCATGTGCAGCTACGGCGGTCACATCGTTCCACGCCCTCACGACAAGTCTCTTTGCTACCTCGGTGGAGATACCCGTATCGTCGTCGTGGACCGCCACTCTTCTCTCTCCGACCTCTCCGCTCGCCTCTCTCGCAGCCTCCTCAATGGCCGCTCCTTCACCCTCAAGTACCAGCTCCCCAACGAGGACCTCGACTCCCTCATCTCCGTCACTACCGATGAAGATCTCGAGAATATGATCGAAGAGTACGATCGCACTTCAGCTTCGTCCCTGAAGCCCTCTCGCCTGCGGTTGTTTCTTTTCCCTTCGAAGCCCGATTCGGCTTCATCGATCGGGTCTCTGCTCGATGACTCTAAGTCGGAGAACTGGTTCGTCGAAGCCCTAAATGGTGCTGGGATTCTTCCGAGAGGACTTTCATCCGATTCTACTTCGGTTAATTGCTTGCTCGGTTTGGATGGTGTTCATGCCGATTCTTCTGTTGATGTGGAGGCTCAAATAGAAGCTTTGGGTGGTAACAAACAGGTTAAACCTGGGCAAGATGTTCAATCCGTGCCCGATTCGCCGATGTTAGAGACGAATTCGTCTTTTGGGTCGACGTCCTCTTCTCCTTCTGTGTCAAATTTGCCTCCAATTCGGGTTCATGTGGAGGATGGTGGGGCTCAGTTCCAGGACCAGAAGGTTGGATTAGAGGATCATTTCTCACAAATGACCATCAATATGCAGAAGCAAGATGAGGGCTTTGCTGCTTTGTCGTCTCCCCCTCCTCCTCTTCCAACGACTATTACTGCTACAACAATTCCATCAGCTGTCTCCAATAATTCTACAGTTGCTGCTGGCGAATACCAGAATCGGGTTGTCTCCGACGACGAGAGATCAGATCATGGAACTCCCGGTGGCTTCCGAAGACCAACACAGCCTCCAACGCCGACGCAGTTGCAACAGAAAACCAATGGTGGTGTTGATTTGCCTTCCCCGGATTCAGTTGCAAGGTATCCTCGGGTTACTCTGTATTTGTTCTTATTATTTCCTATCTCTTGATTTTTTTAATCAGTTTTCTTTGTGCGAATTTGTATTAGCTTCTGACATACGTCCAAATTTGATTCCGGTTCCTGCAGAGACAACTATATTGCGAATGCCATGTCTCGCCCGAAACCTGTGTTCTATCAAGAACCACCTGTTCAATCCAGAGACAACAGGATTTCACCCAACCCTCCTGTTGATCCAAAGAGTAACTTCTCTGATCCAAGCTATCGGATCCAAATGCAACAAGTTCAGGATTCTGGGTATGCATTGCCTTCACAATTGGATCAACATCAACAGCAGCAACAGCAACAGTCACAACAACAACAATTCATTCATGCCGGAACCCATTACATCCACCATCCTGCCACAGGGCCGGTACCAATTTCATCTTTCTACCCAATGTATCCTCCACCACACCCTCAACAGCACCACCAGCAGCTCGATCAGCACTACCCAATGTACTTCTTGCCCGTGCGGCAGACCCAACATTACGGCCTGCCTGTGCAATCAAATTTGGCCGATTCTCCCGCCATTCCTGCAAGTCGCCCCCCGCCCCCTCCGAGTCCTGCTATTATCCCCACCCCTGCAGCATACAAAGAACCAGCTGCACCTGTGTATCCTACCAGACCTGTTCCTCCCCTTAAACCCGAATTGGCCGCAAGCATGTACAGAACAGCGGCCGCACCAGCCCCACCACCTCTTATTCACATACCCTCAGATCAACATCAACAACAATACGTGGGTTACCATCAGATGCATCACCCGTCTCAGTCCATCGCCGTTGCCGCTGCCGGTACCGGCAATTACGCATACGAATTCGCCGATCCTGCACATGCCCAGATATACTACACTCAGCCAACGGGTGCTACATTGCCTCCTCAATATCAAACCATAACTTCGGCCACTGGAGTAGTGGTTTCAGAATCTTCGGCGCAGTTGCCCACTGAGAGCTCTAAGCAGCAGCAGATAAGGACCTCGCAACCACTATAAGACGACATTCGGAAAGGGGGGTAGGGGATAAAAAACAATTTTGGTGGTGGGTTCGGTAAATTTTAGGTTGTATGTTCTTTGTAAGTGTCTGGTTATTGGTATCGATGGTGTCGTCTCCCTCTGATAGAAAATAATGATCTGGGGCTTCCTTCTTTTTCTTTCTACTGTGTTATTTTGTTGATGGTATAGTTAAAGAAAACAAGTTCTACTCAAAATTGTTGTGTTTGGTCTGTCTCTGTATCAGTCATTGAAATAAATATATAATACAGAAAGCTTTGGATTAGGGTACTTTTTCATGGCAGAGCCCCATTTTCTCTGATTGATCTTGTGGAGTTGTGGGTTATTTGTTTTGCTTCACATTTTTAGGGGTGGACTGAACGGTTAAAAGTTAAAACCCCTTTATCTTGTGGGTGAATGGGTGTAAGGTCAGAGGTCTTCCTGTTTGGTAATGGGTTTCCAACTTTTCCATCAAACATCTGTTTATTCGTAGGACACTGTCCAATGTCCATGATGGACAGTTCTGTCCTTCGAACTCGTAGGGCCAACTGGCCAATGAGCTAGCGGCCTCCTAACTGACCGTTATGGCTTTCTTTCTGTTTCCCTAATTGGGATTTGGGACCGTTTGGCAATGGCTGAAAATACCTGAGAGAATAATCATCGTAATAATCACCGTTTGGCCCTTGTCAAAAAAGAAAATTAATACCGTTTGGCCAAGGGGCTCTCTCTCTCTCTCTCTATATATATCTAGTTTTTTTAAAGGGTTTTTGGACTGCAATCTCCCTAAATCTAATTTGCAGCCCCCTCCTAATCTACTAGTGGCCCCCCAATAAAACATCCTGCCTGTAAGAATGTGTCCAAATATAATAAATTATTCAATTCAGCCACTTCAGCAAGTGTCTAACATATGTTCTGTGTTATCCAGCAACAGCTGAATTTGCTGAACTGAACGACTTAATCTGTTGTTCTATCCAATTTCAATTTTAACCATTTAGTTTGAAGAGCTCAAGCTTAAGGCTGAATTTGGTTACAGTACAATTTTATTTATATTAGTACAAATGAAAAAAATGCAAAATCTCATTTAATTTTATTTTAGATTTTACTTTTTTAAAGCAATCATTATATGTTATTAATGTCTTAATTTACTTTATTTACATTATATGTCTTAATTTACACTCAAATAATAATTTTGCATCATCACAAATTTATTTGTTATTGCAACCAAACACAACCTAAAAACAAAAGGAAATGATAAAGCTTTTCAGTTCCATTGAAACGGTCCCTATCCCCGAGACTTCACTGAACAGTAGAGACTGGAGAGTATAAATTTTCCATTTTGTGTGAATCCCAGTCCGCCGCAATTTGCAGATCGCTGTCAAATCTTGATTGGTAATAAAGTATAGTTTAGTCCAAACGGAAAATGGATGGATATGATGCATATGATTTATTATTTGAATGGTATTGAGGATTTTGCAAAAGTGGGAGCACAATAAGTATGGGAGTGGGAAAGCAATAATGTTGGCTTCGTATAATTGTTTTCAACGGTGGAAAAACAATCTACTATAGTTATATAATTTTACTAAAAATCAGAATGCTTACATATAATTCAAATATTCAGGATTTTTGGTGTATATAATGTTAAAGGTATGTCTTATTAATTGGTGGGCCAAGATCAGCGGTTTAGCCGTTTGGTTATCGGGCTACGCTAGCCAATCGTATAGACCAAGGCAAATGTGGGTCCATCTAGGATTGACCAAATCAAATGTAGGGCCCATTCCCAGCCCAAGAAAACTCCAAGCCTTCTTTTTCTTCTTCCTCAATGTCAAGGTTATTTTATTTTTTGTGGGTTTTTATTTTCAGTCCACTCCAGAAATCTGAGCCCCACCTAAATAAGATGAATACTGACGGTAGATCAATGCCAAGTCATCAATCTGCCCCACCTTTATTCTCGCAAAGGAAAATGGTGCACCTCAACTCTCATGTTTCACACCTATCTCATCTGCCCTCTCAGGTCTTCAACTCACAAGTCATGGACTCATGTTTGATTGCTGTTACTTTAAAAGGAGTGACTGGTCTGTTGGACGGATGTACGAGCTTGTTGTGGTCCTCGAAATGAGAGAGTTCATTTGATGGGAGTGAACTAGTGATGGACGATGGTGATAGAGAATTGGGATTCTGAAAGTTTCATCAACGGACGGCATTGTTGTCCTTATCAGCGTCACGTTGTGTATAATCTGATGGAGGCTGTAGATCGGCTTTATCAAAGGCCAGTAAACACGTTGTTTCAGTCAGGTTTCTTTAAAGCAACAACATTGAAAACACAAGATTGGGTCGTTTCATAATTGAAAAGTTTTATTTTTTATTTTTTATTAATGAATAAGATTCATAATAGCTGAAACTGAAGTTGTCTTGTGTGGGGTGTTGTGTTCTATTAAATAAAAACAATTATGATTTAATTATTTTATTGAAGGAAGAAAAAACAAATAAATATTTCAGTTCTGCGACTTCAGCCGTTATAAAACGGCACCTTATGCAAGAAGTCCGTAGAGAATGGATTATTGAATTGGTTGAACTCTTGAACTCATCTAATTCCTTGTATTTGTAGGGTTGGTTATAACTTATAACATGCTGGGCTGTTCAATAGGCTGTGGAATCAATATTAATGCCCTACACTTGTGAAAGTTGTGGGCAGGATGAATTTTATAATGATTATGGTTTTGTTTAGGGTGCAAATTGGGCAGGATGAATTGGGTTTAAGGTTAACACAGACCCAACTCTAAAAATTGGGCCTAAAGTTCGAACTTAGATATCCTCCAACAGTCAGGCCTGAGTTCAGCCCAAAAAAAATAAAGAAAGCCCAAAGTCTTGTTTCGATTGGAGCTGACAGACACGAATTGATTAGGTCTTTTTACTTTTTGATATATTGTTTCGATTTTTATCAGTTTGAAATCGGTTATATATATATATATATATATATATATATAATTAAATAAATTAATATAATATTTTTAACAAATTTATTATAATCAGGTCCATCAGATAGGCCCAACTGTCCCGAGAACCAATGACCTATCGGTTCAATTATGAGTCTAAAAATACAGACCAAGGTTTTTAAAACCGAACAGACAACAAACTGGTTAGGGTTCTGGTTCTTGGATCGAATGGTCTGACCATTCAAACCGAATGAATGCTCGTTCCACCAAAAAATTAAAAAAAAATAAAAAATGGTTAAGACCGTTGGATGGTTCAAACTATTTAACCGCCTAGATCAACATTTTATTGACTAAATCAACGATTTTTGACAAAATAATGGTTCTGGAGTAAAATAGAACCAATCGCCTAACTGGTTTCTGGTTTTTCTGGTCTGATCCAATTTTAAAACCCATGATACAGACTCTTTTGGGTTTGGTTCAATTTATTTCTTGTTAGGTTAGTTCCGGTTCTACCTGAACCCGATCCAATCCTATCCCTAATTTTATTTCATCTTCACAAAAAAAATATATAAATTTGTTAGTGAATCAATTGTTTTTGTTTTGAAAAACAAAACATACACGTTGGCCGAACAACGAAAATGAGTGTATGGATTTTTCTTGGAAGTTTCATACTTTGACACGTAGAACAAGCATGAAATTGAATTGTTGTAAGGAGACTATGACTATTCACTTACGCCGGAGTTTGTGAGGCATATATATGTTACCAAAAGGTGGAGGTACGTGGTTGGAAGAACTTTGGATTCATCATTCATGAATGCATTGGTAAGTGAAATCTGCGGTTTGTCGTTATTTCAAACCCAAACCCAAAAGAATCCAATGAGGAAGATGAACGTTTGGTTTGTAAATTTGTAGTGGCAGATTTTTATCATTGGATTCTGAAACCCAAGTGGCATGTTTCTCGAGAATCAGGATTCAAAGGTGTGACCACTTTGGGTGCTCTCCAAGACCAAGGTCTTGGAACCCAGCTCACCTTTGGCTTTGACATTTTCCTTCTGGAAAATTCTTAGGCTGTACATCGCCTGCATCTTTCTCTCGCTGACAACCAGTGGATTCAAATTTGATCGTGTCTGTTACAACTTACAACCAAACGGTGAATAGCTTGACAGCACCACTTTACAGCTTTGTCCTTCATTTTGCATTTATTCAATTTTGTTTTTTTTTTGTTTATTTATTTTTCAAGCATTTAAATCAAGCCGATTTCCCATCTCGCATTAACTGATCGTTTATAAGAAAAAGAAAATCTTGTATCAATTGATTTGATAGTGATTATGAGAATTTTGTTCTGCCTTCTACAATTGCAATATGAGATTTGTGATTTCTCACACATTAAGGGAAGGAAACAGAAGTATTGATTTTCTTACGAATACCGGTATTGCTGTTAGATGCCATGTAACTTTTGATACTGTTTCAAATCTTCTCGTTGATCTTAGAAAGCTCATGCATGAGGATTATATTAATATCCCTCCATTGCGTATGGGCTAGTTGAGTGTAATGTGATCTGCTTATTTATTTTGGGTGGGTTAAGATAATAGCATTTTGTTCTGGGCTTGGGGCTCCATTTGGAATAAACTTTGGGGTCATTCAATAAAAAAAGAAAATTTCACAAAATCGGCTGAGAAATCAGTCTTCCATTTTAAGTTTTAACATGTGGGGGAGATGAATTGGGAGTTGGTCCTCACAGAGTGCTTCTCATACCAATTTTACATCCATATCCCATCATGTATTGAGAACATCTCCCATGAATAATAATATATAAAGAAGAGAGACGATCTTCCCAATGTACAACTGGTACATACTGTGGGAAGAGTATATCCGTATTTTTTAGGCTATGTTTGGTTTGAAAGAAGAACTAGGGAAAGGAAATGAATGGTAAGAAAACCTGTACAAACCTTGTATAGTTTCCCCACTTTTCCCTACCTTTTCCTTCAAAACAAATACAGCCTTAGAGTTTAACATTAATCCATCCATGAAAAGAGCGACATTGAAAATGTTAGAGAAATTGGTTATTTTCTAAATGCTTCCAAGTGACTGAATTCTAATCTCTAGTAGTCTAGGTAAATGTTGATGCCCTACACTAACAAAGATGATAAATAGTAAAATCTCATATCGACAAGCCTGAGGATATGGGTTCGAATTTTAAACCAGGTACTAACACGTGAGAAATGCTCAAGGTTAGATTCATGTTCAGTTCCCTACTCCATATACCTGGGGCCTGGGGGCCAACCTTGCATAAGGCTCTTTGTAGTTCTTTAAGGCTATAGGACCCGGAAAAAAGTCTAATAATTATAGTTTAGATAGTTTTTAATTTAGG